AGACCAGCGAGAATATAGTTTTTAATTCCTTTTTGAGATATAACACAATTAAGTAGTCTATTAGGCACAGCTTTTATTTTCCAATAAAGACTCCTGGACAACAATACAGTTGCGTTGTGATATTGCTCTTTTATACAACTGTTAGTGCCGGTCAAACTTGATTGGCTGAGTGGCGTTCCATAAGCGCTGCTGGATAGATAGAAATGTGTAAGATCCATTTTGATGCATGAATACACTACTGCTAATATGTGTTCTGTATCTACATTCTAGAAACATAATGCATTATATCAAGAAGTATCTTTTGGACATTGTTATTGTGCAACGAGAAAATGCAAAATAAAGCCAGGTGACAGGGATTGAATATTCACTACACAACTGATCCCATATTGTCATTGTTCAGCAGATTCAAAAATGTTTCATAGACCTTTATGTTCTTCCTCTCTGCCCTTACAATGCTTCATTCTTATTGAAATTAATAATTTTGTAGTGCTCTTTGTCACAGCAAAATATAGACACTCTCAGACTGTGCATTAGTGGTGAAATGTCTGTATCAGTGAGTCACTGAATTATTCACTTAACCGATTCGTTCTTTGTCAGTGAACAAAACACCTCTGCTGGGTTGCTCTAAAATGTGCAACAATTAATTTTTCTGTTGTTTTTCTATGTAAACAAGCGCTCGATTAATGTATTTGACTGTTGTGCTTGAGTCTGGTGTCTTTTGAAACATCATGCATGTGACATGACATTCTAAAAACATGGCGCTCAAGTTAAAATAAGTTCTTGAAGCCTTGCGTTTTTTCCCATTTCACTGTCCTGCGTCAGACGTTCTTAAACGTAAAAAGACATTCTGTGAATTCTGCTGTTGATTTGTTTAAAACTATTTTCATTGGTCAAGCAAAAATAGACAAAGAAACAGACAATGTTATGTCTAAAAATTGAATATTAATTTTACACACCGTCAGCTCTTATACTTGTGTCATATTCCTTAAATATAACCCGCTGCTCTTCAGAAGGACTGCTGTAATATATTTAATGGACTAAAATAAGTTGTAAAAGAGTACAGTATATGTTCATAATGCCCCTGTGGGAAGAAGACCTCTCTTTTGAGCTGGACCACCCTGGGTGAGGAAACTCACGTCATGGCAATTTTGGCACTGACTAAATCCGGCTCTATATGTTGACCACAGGGTTTAACGTATCACTGGACCCTCATCCAATCCTGCGGAAACCACCAGCAAAGTAAAAGCATATGCTTTAGGGGAAAGAGTGGGTGAAGAAATGTAAACGGTGTCATCAAGCACCCTTCGGTTTATCGTTCATTGTAATACCACGTGCTTGTCTAATCCCCTTATTAAGAAGAAAACGAAAATGTTTGGGCTTTCATCAGCATTGCTGTACACAGCCGAAATACCAGCCGTCAAACCAAATTAAAATCATCATATATGCTGTGGGACGGGAAATTCTGAAATCTTCAAAATGTACGTGCATGGATTTCTCATGCGCTACGTTGCCGACTCGCAGGCAGCTTTGGATGTTATAATCTTAAATGGTAATCGCCTGTTTGCCTCGGTGGGATTTACATTTTTTTCACGCTGTAATCTCGCATTTACAATGTCATTTATGTGACTTTGGCCTCTCCGCCTCTTGACATCTCTGTCTGGCTCTCGAGGTATAAGACTGACAACAGACAAGCCCCGGACACAACGCTTTGCTTTTCATACCCCGGCGAGTGATGAACTTTTGGCATGCCGCTCATGTATGCAAACAGGCTTTGTTTCCTACACACACACACACATTCTTGATTGATGTTAAACTGAGAGCGAGCACTCGTGTTGCTGTCAGAGCTCGGCTAAGTCCCTTGAGCCTCCTGATTTCTTGACATTTGTAGATATAATATTCACGCAACAAGGAGCAGCTTTTGTGATGTGATCCTGCTGTAACACTTTAATCTGTTTAGACTGTCTCAATATTATGGCAGAGTGGAGAGAGGCCCATTCAATACAATCCATAGCTTGGGGCAAACACCTCGGTAGATCTGAGGTTTTTTAATGAAATGGCTCTGCCTTATGTTCAAGTGAGAATGTTGGCTTCTATTTTTATATAGAAGTGGGTGAACTACTATTAATGGTGGGCAAACAAAGATTTTTTTTTTTTTTTTTTTATTTACTCATTTAATATAAATAAGTAAATGTGTTTATACATAAAATATTTTGTTGAGAGATGAAAATAAAAATCTGTCATAAGTTTGTTTAAAAAACATGTAATGTTAACATTGAAATGGAGTTGTTATTTTGTTTTGTTTTTTATCAATACAAAATTATGTTGTTTTTTTAAAGAAGGATCTTCATAATTATTTTTCTTTAAATAAAATTCATAACTAAAACGTAGTCATTTTATAAAATTACTATGAAATGTAAAACATTTTAAAAGATAAATCTTTTATTTAAAATATTTGTAATATTTATTTAAACGTTCCTCTATTTTCTAAATGCATGTTATAGATCTTATTGTCAACTATTTATCTGTGAATGTTCTCCATTTTTATTTCATTTTTTCCTTGTAATTTGTAATCAAAATGTCATAATTTGATCTGGTGAAATGACAAGATTGTAAAGATCTATCGCTACTTCCATTATATTAATATTATATATAAATTAAATTTTCAATACACATTTTCAAACTAGCATGGTTTAGTTATGACGTGAGAAACAATGCCGTTTGTTGTCTTTTTTTTGTAATTTTTATTTTTAAAGCTTAACAGACAATTATGAACTGCCATTATATGGAACAAAGATAAAATAATACAAATGCACAATGATAAAAAAAAATAAAAAAAATATATTAATTTTTGTCCAAGATTCCACCAGATAGTCCTTTAACCTCTGTTTGTAAGATAGGAACATAGACTAATGACTCGTGTCATAGTTTTTGATGGAAATTAGTATATGGCTCAAAGTGGATGGTGTATTTCCCCATGAGTAGCTGGTAATGAAGACAAACCACATGTGGAATTTGTTGACTGTCCCATACCATGCTGTCATCTATCCCCCAATTACACCAATCATCACTCTCGAAATCCTCTTTGGAGTAAATTAGCTGCAGTATTATTCGGTGCTGGCCTGCTTTTCCTTTCTGTGCTTTTTCCTTTCCCTCTCTCTCTCACTCTGTTTTAAAGCCTTTGAAAAATCTCCAGCCCGAGCGCGCTTGAAACGAGCTGCACTTAGTAACCTGATGCTGGTCCCTGCCCTTAATGGTTTGCATTAGCTGCAAGCAATAAAATTAGCCCAGGTCCCTGCTAATGTTGGAATAATCATTTACAAAGATGGTTACCACATGCTGAAGCTGTTTCCTTCTCATTCCCCGTGCTCCCCTTTTTTCTCGGCCTCTCATTTTTTCTTTTATACAGCCTCTAATTCGCTGTTATTAATAATGAATAAAAACCCAATTTTCTGCAGCTTGCTCCAGGGCCCTGGGAATCATTTCAATGAATATTTCAGCACGTTATTTTAATCACAGCTGCACATATGCTGAGGGAGGGGGTCCCTGTTTTATTGGCCTGGGGTGTGGCTATGGTGAGACCCCAGCATCATTAAAACCCCTCTCCGGCTGCATAGAGGGTCCTACCTCTGATTTACAAGACTTGTTAAAAAACACAGTAAAAAGGAGGCAAGCTGCGCCATTTATACTTGTAATTTGATACCGTATTTGTTAATGGGACTTGCTGTTATTTATTTGTGGGCTGGAGAGCCCCGGCTGCTGTTTTGTGCCTGAGGGGTTCTCGTGCAAAAGCTTGTCTGGGTTTCTGGAGCTCTAATGAACTTCATGAATTAGCTATATTTTATATATATTTGATTCTCCCTCATGTGTAACCTTTGGTTTGGGTGCCCTCCAGAATGCAATTCTCCGTAGCATTGTATGTAGAGTATTACACTGCTGTATAAATTTAAGTGCTTTCTTTGTGTGTGTCTGTGGAAGCCCATTTCTCCCACAAGAAAGAAAAAAAAAACATGCTATGCTAAACCCTAATTATATCATAAAAAGTTGTGAGTCATGATTACTAAGTCATTATTATACGATAAACAGTCAGAGTTATGACACATCAAGTCTTCATTTTGACAAAAAAGGAAATTGTGAGAAGGTCGAATCTATGCAAGTAATAATTTTATTATGTAATGACTTTTATTTCATAAGGACAGTCGAGTCGTTGACATTTTATCTTATAATATTAATTATAATATCATTCCAACTTTCTATCTCATTCTTGTGTCTTGGTATATCTTAGTAGAGTATAATTTCACTATTTCATTATTTAATAATTTCACCTTTTCATCTCAAAATTTCACCTTTTCATGTTATAATTTGTACATTTATCTCATAATTAATGCGGATTTTCATAAGTTTGACTTTTATATCATAATTCTGACTTAGTATCTCATAATTTTGCCTTTGTCATAATTATAACTTATGTCATAATTTAAACTTTTTATGTCAAAATTTTGACTTTTATCTCATAATTAATGTGTAGTGGGCCATAATTAAGACGTTTTATCTTATAATTATGACTTATTGTCTTGTAATAGTTTTTTTCCCCCAACTTTTCGTCATAATTAAGACCTAGTATGTCATAGGTCTGACTTTTTATATCATAATTATGTCTTAGTATCTCATAATCTTGGCTTTTTGTCACAATTCCAACTTTTCATGTCATTTTTTCCACTTCTTAATGTTATTATGAGTTTTCATGTGATTTACCAAAGCATTTTTTTTTTCCTAATGTGACGAAAATGGGTTTCCATGTGTGTCTGATGTGTTTCTGTTGTAGTGCTTCACATTTGTGAATGTATTTTTAACAAAATGAGTGATAATATATTAATGTGCCAAAGTATGATGTGCCCTGTGGAAAGCAGGGCTTGTTTCACCATATAAAATGATATTCAGTGCTTTCATTTTTTAATTTTAGCTTTCCAACATGTTTTTTTTTTTTTTCTGATTCCTAACAGGAGTTCCTGTCTTTTCCCCTTTTCCAGTCAGCTGCATGACTTCTGGCGTCTGGATTACTGGGAGGATGACCTCCGGAGGAGGCGGAGATTCGTCCGAAACCCTTTTGGCTCCACCCACTTGGACATCACGTGCAAATCGCTGGAGGACTACGGTCAGTAATTCTGCCAACAGCCAATCAAAAATGTTGCTGGACTCTGTCAGTCTAGCTCATTATCCCTAAATTGCGTTCATTTCATACAATGACATCATTGTTCACCAAATGGGATACACATATGCGAATTAGAATCAACTCTTGGACGCAACTAATATTCTCAGAGCTGAGAAACAGTTCGTTGTCAGCTTTATAGGTTGTATATTTATGAGCGTTGTCAATTGAACATGGCAAGAGGGCTTTATGGCAGGTTTTTATATCCTAACGGCACACATTGTTGAGAGGAAAATTGCGCGCTGTGCTTTTTTTTTTTTTACTGTTTCTGCCTTTTGCACTCAAACATTTTTCCTCATTGACACGTTTGATCTTGCAGCGTTGCCCACCGCATGGCTGTCGATTTGACTCTGTGTCTCGCAACAGAGGCTTTAAAAGAGAAACGGTTCAATAATATTAACCAATGGGGGTGCTTCTCCTCCAGGCATCAAATTGAAGATACGAAGGGAGTGTATTAACTGAACAAGGGCAAACCTATTGATTCTCAAGTACAATGGGGCGACTTCTCTCTTGTGCACAGAATAGTTACTGTAACTATTTCCATTACACATGGGGAAACTTACAAAGGGGCAAGCGAAATAAGCCCATTTATTAAAAAAAAAAATCCACAATTGAACCCTTGGTATTAGCTCATACTTATGGGTAGATGCATATGAGAGTGTTTTTTGACAGCATATTTTGCTAAAATGCTGCTAATGGCCACCTGGGATGACAATAGATTGCACTTTCTAACGTAATGAAAATGATGCACTTTGATTATGGACAATACTCTGTGGTCTAAACATCTTACATTAACCAGTTGTCATGACTCGCAACTGTGAGGAGCTCGGAGACGAGGAGTGGAATTGAAGCATACAGGCTTTAATCACATCCAGGGAACAAGGAAAACACACGTAGCAAGTGTAGACATATACAATTCCAGACAAGGGAGAACAGAACGGGCTAGGACTCAAATAGGGCAGATAACGAGGGGCAGACAGGTGAGGAGGATAACTAATAACAAGGAACACCTGGAACTAATAGAACTAAATGGGGACAGGAACAGGAAGGACCAAATAAGGGCAAGGAAGGCACATGGGGAGCAAAACATACATAAAACAAGGAACAGAGTCTGACACCGGTGAATTGATGAATTTTGGTATGAATGTGTCCGGTGTTGGGGAAAGTTACTTTTAAAAGTAATGGATTACAATATTGTGTTAGTAAATAATTACGTTACTTAGTTACTTTTTATGGAAGGTAAGGCATCACATAAGATTTTACAGTCAATAAATGAGAAAACAAAGTACCTTGTGTTCACCTTATATGAAAAAGTAACTCTTTTCTTGTTAGTTTAAAAGTAATGCGTTACTTTAGTTGTTACTTGAAAAAGTAATCTGATTACTCGTGTTACTTGTAATGCGTTACCCCCAACACTGCTTATGTAATTTTAAAGTGTGTTCTGTGACTTGTTATGCAGTAATATTGTGTCTATCTATATGTCTGGCCTTTTGTGCCCAACTGTTTTGAGGCCATGTCAGATGGCCTGTGTGTCAGAGCCAGAACACACACATGCACACTCGTTCATACAGATGCCAGCTGTTCCTTGACCTGCAGGTGGCCCCTGCTCATGTCACAACAGATTTTTTCCCCCACTAATTCATTTTGCCACCATATCAAATCCACACTGTCTTTCAAACGTATTACCCAGTATATCTCTTGCATTTCTTCAGAAGCTCACACCGCTGCAGTATTCCTCTGGCCCGGCTTCTTTTTCTGTCTGTCCTTGCTAAGTTGTCAGTGCGTCTCTGTGGACCCGCGGTCTAGTGTCTAGGGCCGCTGTGATTGAGGACTTGTTGAGGTCCCCAGGCTTCTCCCAGTCCTTAATGAGTGGAATAATGTATAAGATTGGCATGTGAAAGGGATTGCCTGTTGTCAGATGTTGCCCCCACAATGCCATAGAGAGAGAGGGAGAGCAAAGAACGACTTCTCTAGATGGATTTTATAAAAACGGAGGGACTGTTTTCATAAACCTGCAGAACAGTGCTAAGCTTTTAAGATAAATGCAAGCTTATAATTGTTATGAACTTTCAAAAATTTAAAATAAATTAAAAGAAAAAAAATAATGCAGTATATGTTTTTACTAAAAAATTAAATATATGTAAAAAAAATAATATTATTATTTATTCATTTAGTCCATTGTATTTAAAAGCACTCTTATTTTTTCACTGGAATGAAAGTCCTAATATGTCTGCACATATGTACATTGCATAAGGTATGTAAATCATCCTTTTAAGAAACTGTAAAAGTCAGTAGCTCTGTGCTTTGCTGAACTGGCAGTAGTGGAGGTTTACAGCTGCTTTTGTGACTGGCGGTTGATGTATGTTGAGTTAACATAGGTGATTTGAATGAATTAACTGTTAAGGGTGCATATAAGTTTCCATTATTTTTGCCAGAAACCAAAGAGATTGAAAAATGACTGCTCTCAAATGTCAGAACACTGGCGGTTGACAGCAGTCACTGCATATGGGGCTTGTTTTTATTCACAATTACATATTTTCATAGAGCTTGTCTGTGTTAGAACATACGCTGCGTTTTAGCAATATTTCAAATTTCTTCTCATGCGAAATGACATGAAATATGCCTCAGGTTCATTCAAAAAAATTTCTAACTGCCCTAGAAACAACATCATTATATTTGATTCATGGTAATTTCATGTATTTTCTGTGGCTGTAATACAATCTTCAATCACTGAAAATAGAGGAACGGCCTGAATTTAATGGGACCTCAAATGGCTGACTACGTTGTATAAGCATTTGATAAACCGTACTGCGCTGAGCCTCATTCCCAGGTACCTTTGCATATGTTTGTAGGAAACTTAGCTTTGAAATAGCTCAGTTTAGTCTATTAGCCATGCTGACAAAATAGTGAGCATGTTACATGCGGGTCTCAGGCTTTGATACAGTACCTTCCCCCTTATTCACGAGTGGCCGAGTATATTGTTAGCTGATTGGAATTGGGCAAGCATGAAATGGAAGTCATGTTAATATTGATCCTGCTCTTTAACAGCCTGTTCTACCTCCGAGTGTCCTTGCAGTCTCATTTTCAGGTGAGCAGCTCTGCCCTGACCCAATGAACCCCTCTGGACAGAGATCTTTATAGCTTGTTACATGAGAGAGTGGAAGAGCGAGAAGAAAGGTGGAAGTAAGAGAGGTGTGATAATTCAATACAAGTTCAATAGAAGTAAATCAACAAACGATGTTGATTACCACAAAAATTAATGCCGACTTGTCCCTCTGTTTGCTTAAGAAAAGCAGAAATGTGAGAAGCTTACAATGGAAGTAATTGGGGCCAAGCCGTAAATGTTAAAATACTCACTATTTACATTGTATAACCACAAGACATAAGCAGTATGCAGGTTAACGTGATTATAGTGTGAAAATAAACTGCTTGCTAACCTGTTCAGTTTTTGTTACAATGCCTAAAACCCTAAAATAACTGTAAAAAATTAAAAATAAAAATAAGTGCTTTTAAAAAATTCCCCATTCACTTCCATTGTAAGTGCCTCACCAAAACATCCCCACGGGTTCTTAAAATGCCTTAAATTTAAATGTAAGGTCATAAAAAGTCATAATAAATATCTTAAATGGCATAGCAGTGATAATTAATATTTTAAAGGGTCTTAAATGTGGGAACAGAAAACAGGAAGTGTGATAAAAACCTAATGTATCATTAAACTACAATAAACGTTAAGTGCTGCAAGTTCAAAGTCAAAATGCGGCTTTATGTTTTACAGGACTTATTGTCTCCGCAAACTCCAATATCTAAACATCTAACATTAACCAGTGAATTGATGAATTTGGGTATACTTATGTTCAGTGTTGGGGAAGTTGCTTTTAAAAGTAATGGATAACAATATTGCGTAACTCCATAAAAAAGTACTAATTACGTTACTTAGTTTTTATGGAAAGTAATGCATTACAGGAAAGGTGTAAGTCAATAAATGGGTAATGGGTAAAAGTAATGCGTTACTTTACTAGTTACTTTCAAAAAGTAATCTGCAAGTTCAAAGGCTAAATGTGGCGCTATTGCAGGTTTTACAGGATTTATTGTCTCAGCAAAGTTTCCTTTAATTAGCATGTGAAAGTCTAATCAAATCAGCCCAAATATTTAAACGCAGGCGTTCTAATTCTAAATCTGCAGAGCTGTCTGTGAAATTCTGTGCATACAGATTCCATGTGGGCTTTGTAATCAGCCATATTGGGTCTGTATGTGTGATACCAAATGCTTCTCACATGAGTAAAACCATAACAAAAACTTTGCATGGGTCTCCGGTTTCGCTTTACGAAGTTGGGTTCCTTTTTCCAGAGCTGACTGCAGAATTCCTGTTGTTTGATCGACGAGCGCAGCAAGCCCACTTTGCCACATTGTTTGTGTGCGAATGCACTTATGGCACATGTGCAACATTTTGTTTGAGTTATTATATATCAGTCAACTGCAGAGACGTAGATCTACACGTCTTAGTACATTGTGTATTTTTACAAAAGGCATCTCATCTGTCAATCCCAGAATGGAAAGATACACCAGATGCAATTACTGCTTAAATGGAATATTGTGTCATTCTTTATATATATATTTTTCCTACATTTTTGGCTCTTTCATTTAAGGCTACAAATGCGCATGACTCGAGTGTCATGAATAAAAGTGCAAGGCAAATACTCCAACCATAAATAAAACATGGACTCTGAGCAACAATAACCGACTAAATGAAGGCCTGTTTGAAGCCTGAAAAAACTTAAACTGTAAAACTACCAAGCACTTAAATATTTCCACCTTGGGAGCTGTGCTCACAAACTGTAAAATTCCTTTTGCCACAAGCTATGCGCAGTTTTTCGTTTGATGTGACTTTTAAAAGAAAAGGCCAAGTAAAGAGATCAGTGTGTTGAAGAAGTCACATAGTGATGGAATGACAGAATTGAATTGCAAACTAGAATCTTTTTGTTCTTTCCTTTTTCGAAGCCTTCAAAACCCTGAGTTACTCATCAAGTAACAGTTTTGTGCCGCTGAAGGAGCTATTTTGAGCCCACTTCAAATATTTGGTTTTCATCATATTGTGCTAGTCATTGGATATAAGTTTAGAGCTACATCTACTTCAGCACATTTTGATTTGTTTGTTATTCTACACGTATGTCAGTCAGCCATTGACAGCTCCCCGTCCCCCAGCTGTATGGATCAGATCCAAGCTTTTAGCGAAGAACATCATTCAAGTCCCACCACGACTGGCAGACCAGCCATCACCTGGTCTTTCTCAACCCTGCTGTGTCATGCCAAATTTGTGCCCTGGGTAACATAAACCCTCTGATGGCAGAGCGGGTAAGCCGTGCTGGGCTTGAATAGCCTCACTGTTGGCCGTGATGGCTCACAGGATTCCAGTGAGCCAGCTTCGGGGGTGCGATAAACGAGGTGGTTGACAATACAAGCGAGGGGTTCTTTCAAGTCTGAGTTGTAGCGATCTCGAGTTCCCATAAAGCCTCATTCCTAGGACTGACAAATGATTGTCTGTGTTACTAGATATCTCATATATGTGGCCATGTAAGCTTTCTATCAAAGGCTTGCCATTTAAGAGAAAAAACAGGAAGCTTCTGTACCGGTGTCGTTGCTCAAAAAGCTAGTGAGCTTTTGTAGGCAAGATTCATAGCGCTCCCGATGTGAAGGATGTTCCAAAAGGTAGAAACATAATTATAGCCAAGTTCTAACTTAACTTTATGTGGCAGCACTGCATTTGTATTTTTTGGCGTTAGAATCCATTACAGTGTGTTTGGTAGAAAAAAGGTATCCAAGATGGCGGGCGATGCAAGATAAAGGTAAATATGCAGTAATTCATGCAATATAAAATCAGACTATTTTACTCAATATCATTATGTGCCACATGTTTATGCTAGTTAGAGTAATACAGGGAAAGGTTTAAAGGAATAGTTAATCCAAAAATGAAAATTTGCTGAAAATTTACTCCCAGAGCCAGTTTGTTTCTTCATCGGAACAGATTCTGAGAAATTAAGCATTACATCACCTGCTCTGCAGTGAATGGGTGCCATCAGAATGAGAGTCCAAGCAGCTGATAAAAAACATCACAAAAATCAACAGCATGACTGCATGTTTGTATTAAACAAATCCAGCAAAAATAGATTTTCATCTTCACATAAAAAGTCCTCTATCCATAATATTGATTTCTCTAATAAAAAAAAGTAATCTAATCTGAATCAGGAGATAAATATGCACAGATCACAGAACAGTCTGAAACCGTTTTAAACAAATGTGCCTGTGGATTTTGATGTGAAAGGACAACAGTGGATGGAAAAACCTGTGTTTTGGCCGGAAACAATGGTTTATGTTAAAATGCATAAATTGTTTATATATATATATATATATATATATACAAAGGCACAGCTTTTTACTTCACAAGATGTTATTTAATGGTCCATTATATTTTTATCTGCTGCTTGGACTCTCATTCTGACGGCACCCATTCACTTCAGAGGATCCCTTGGTGAACAAGTGATATGATGCTAAATTTCTCCAAATTTTTCTGATGAAGAAACAAAATTTTTGACATCCTGAATGGTCTGAAGGTGAGTACATTTTCAGAAAATGTTTATTTTGTGACCATGTACATGGACAACATTAAGAATGCGTTTTGATCTATGTTTTGAATGAATGACAATTAATTGTGAACACAAATAGCCTGGTGGCACAGATGGATGACCATAATGGCAAAGAGCACACGTTGATTAATGTTATTCTTTGATATGATGCATTATCCAGTGGTTTAATTAACATTCAACCTTTTTCTACCAGAATGTGCGTTTTTAGTGATATAAAATTGATTTAATGTGAACACGATGATATATTAGCGTCAATGATATTTGTAGCTATTACTAGGGTCTACCAGAACTAGGAACGTCTACAAGTTAGCAACAAATACAGCAACTGATGATATGCAGTGACCAGGTCTGCTGGGACTTTATGTATGCACAGGTTTGTTTTCCTTCTTGTGGCCTTCTTTGTGTAAAACATCCTAAAGTTAAATACTTTTTTAAACTCACTTTTTCCCCCTCAAACTCTCCCCATTTGCTCAGGATAATTTTCTTGTAAAAATCCGCCTGGTTATTTTGTCTGCATTACACTGAGGTCCTAAGCTTTATCTTGCAGTCAAGACTGGAGCTCAGCTCCATCAGCTCTCCCTGCTTTAATGCAGGCGTAATGACGGTTTACAGAATTACAGTCTTAAGTTTCCCTCCATCTGCTTTGATCCATGACCGCTTGCTGGCTCTGTGCCTCTAAATGTTACACGCTCCCTATTTCCGAAAAGCGGTCCCACTTCTTCCTTGGCTCTGATGAAAGCTCCTGAGATATGAGACAGAGCAGGAAGCCCGCTATGTTATTTTTTTTTTTTTCTTCTCTCTCCTTCTCTTTTTCCTTCTTTGTCTGTGTAGTGGTGTTGACAACATTCGAACGTGACCGCTTGGAGACAAGGTACATGAACCCCACGGGAGTGTAGGGAACATTTTAAATGCTGCACTGAAAAGAAACACGTCAAAAGAGTGTCAGACACTTTCTATTTCTGATAAGCGTTTCTTATTTCCTTTTTTTTCACAGAATCTCTCTGTTCTGGTGTCTCAGGCATATCTGACCTTACACAAGACGAATCCAGTGTGCAGTGACGTGTGTCAGGCCTGACTGCCATTTTTATCTCTTTTATTTAGTAATTAAAGCTGATGAATGATCTTTTTGTTTCGATATAAAAAAAAAGTGGCTACACACTTTTTTGCATAATTTTTCTTTTTCCCTCAGATAAGGCTGCTTGATGAGCTTTGGTGTTATCAGCAGTCGCTTAATTGCGTTGTCGGTTCAATCTCGTTCCCGTCCAGATTTAGAGAGCAGATTGCATTATGCCTAATGAACTTCGAAATGTCTCTTTAAAGGAGAATTAAACAGTTTAGAGTAAAACGTTATAGTTTGCCTGTGGTTCCAGTCAGGATTTTGAAATAAAACGTGCTTTTGACATCATTGCTGATACTTATTCCAGATAGAGTTTGTTCCTATAACAAGTTCTGTTATCCCAGAAATAAAGTGTTAAGGCCTGTTCACACAAAGGACGTTAACTGTAACGATAATGATAACGATATAGTTCTAAAAATCTGTCTGAATTTAAAAGAATAGCAGATTCCACACCACAACTATAACCCCAAAGAGAAACAATTTCTTTGGGATCACTTTCAGAACCTTTTTTTTTTTTTCATGAAAATCTAGATGGCACAGTTCCGATAGTTTCTAACGCAATCTGATATAATGACATCTTTATTGACATGACACAGCTGATTGGTTTCTTTTCATATCAGCAGCCAATGAGGTTACTGCTCAACATTCAAATACTTGGTTAGTGCTTGCTGTAGCAGTTGCAGCGCGCTTCAGAAACCCTCCACCTTCCCCAGCTCCACCTGTATAGATCTGCTATGGGGTGATTTCATGTATGTTATATATGAGAGTTATTTAATATATATATGTTATATGTGCAGCAGCAGTATTCTTTACATGCTCACAGCAGCATGTCTGTGGATGTATTTGGAGTAGCAAGTTTTGGTATTTGCTCTCCAACAGCGGTGTAGCAGATCTATTCAGGAATATAGATATTGTTATAGTTATCTTCATTATTATATATATATATATATATATATATATATATATATATTTTGTGAACAGGCCTTTAAAAAAATAAATAAATAAACCAAGTTCCTACGTTGCTTGGTTACCATTACCTATTTATCTGTTGTGGCTTATTGATTTTCTGTTGACTCGAGATTCATTTAAAGATACACAAAAACCTGGCCAAGAAATCACCATAAAAAAAGAAAAAATAATAAATCCACCATATATTTTTTATAATATAATATGATACACTGCACAGTATAATTTTTAATGAATGTATTTTTATATTTATTTTTACTGTGTCTTTTATGCCTTGTGATTCTCAAATGTGCTTAAGTACAAATAATGTCAGTTTTCATCACCCTTGTCTCTCTGCAGGCCCTGAGGAAGATGAGGCCCTGAGAGGTAGGAAAGGCTTCCGTGGCCAGGCGGTGGTCTGCCAGAGCCCTGAGACAGAGCTGATGCTGGAGGGGGATGATGACACTGTCAATCTGCTGCAGGAGAAAGAGGTGGACAACTTGGCAGGTGAGTCAACCTATACACAATACACAGTGCAATCTGTATGGTGACGGTTCTCCATTCAGCATGCATAGTAAGTCATACACATCAGTTTCATGACGTGACACTTTCCTTCAGTCTTCAGGTTTAAAGGTTCTGTTTGCCACATGAGTTTGGATTAAACATTTTTAGACATAATTTGTTATGTTATTGAAATTATAAAGTCATATTCAAACATACCTGTAGGTTTACCTGCACAGAGAAGTCCTGCCAGAGGCACTTCATCTGAAATGTCTGCATAATTCCACATTTGGTTGCATTTATTTATCTATACATAGCTTAAGCGTGGCATTTTGTCAGAATGACAGTATTTGACATAGAACAGATATATAAATATATCTTACCTGTCAATCTAGAGGCAGACCAGTGTAGTTAGTGTGGTTACTTTGCGTTAGGACTGTGTTTATGTTTTTCTGGCTGTGTTTAGGGTTAAGTATTGCTCTGGACAGAGTTACATTTTTTTTCCTGCTGAATATTTATTTATTTGTTTATTTTTTAAGTCTATAGTAAAACAAAATTTTAAATATGTATTTCTCTTCTTTTTTTCTCACAGCAAGTTTCTGTCCCCGGGTTTTTATTTCCAGAGGCAGGTTTGGCTATTTAAAGAGAGATTAACCCTTTCAAAACCACTAATATTACATTGAATCAAATTAATTACATATAATTATTATAGAATTAAAGCAAATATGACTTTAACCAACAATCAGGAGGCAATCAAGATCAATATAGATGAGTTCATTATTTATAGTGACATACCTTTTCCAAAATTTAATCTGCTAATAATGATAGTCTGATAATTGTTCTTTTGCAACTAAAATTGTCTAATCGCTATTTTATTTTATGAGGAATTTTTTTTTTTAATCACTTGGATTTCCATTATTCTCAGCAACTATAATATCAGAATTACTACTGACAGGTTGTCTCTCAGTGTTAGCAGTGCTTTGTTAACGTGTTACATTTTTATCAGCTATACGTTGGAAGATGTTGTATATGATATATGTATTGTGAATGTGTAGCTGACATGTTATTAATAATACCCTGAATAATCAGTGCCCCCACTCGCTCTGCAGACCTTCATTAGTCAATGAAGGTTAAAAATGAGAGGTGAGATATGTATGCGTCTGTAGAAAATCCAATGCCCTAATTTATCTATATATTTTCTTTACTATCTGAAGTGTTGTATGTATGCATAGCTGATAGTGTTGTTAAAGCTCCCAGCACACAGCCTATTTAAACTCATTCACAATTTATAAGCAGTTCTTCATGCCATTCTACTTTTTTTGACTCTGTAGGAATTCCTTTATCAGATATAAATCAGGATTGCCTCAATTACCCTCTAATATGTTCCCACCAATGTTAGCCAATTCGCAAAGCAGGAATGCAAACTGGTGTGTTCCTGCTGTTCTTTGTCTACCATCTATGTTAAAAGTAAGTTTACTGGAATGCAATCAATCATAAATCCTGGCACAGTGTATAAATTCCTGAAATGTTCTATGAGCACCATCAAATGGATTAATATTAAGCAGCAAATGCACTGATTTTGTATCCATCACTTAAAATGAAATGCTTAGAGTACTGATTATTTTAAAGGCAACTAGCCTAATAAGCAGTGTAAATATTTAATTACATGCAACTGTTGGTTTGTGCAGTATTTGTGGATGAAAAGGCCCAAATTTGTTTCTTTCAGTAGGCTATATATTTATGACTCACGGCAAGTAGGCCTATTTTAGTGACAATCATTTTTGCCTGCTCAGCATTTAGTTTCAAAAATGTGTGTTTATGCTTGTATTGGGTGTGTTTTATTCCTCTGTTATCGGAGTTGTGTATCATCACCACAAGGGGAGCTGTGCCATCTGTGTCAGTATGCTGTGTGTGCACTGTTTCTATTTTGACAGCAGGCCTACAGGCTAATGCTAGTGCTAATGAGCGCAGTGTAAGCAACAGGCCAATCAACAACAGCCTTCTCACAGCCAATGGGAGGGGCTCAGTTCGTCTGCAGCCAATCAGAGTACAGGATCTGTCATGAGTGTATTTACACCCACAGCTAAACATAGACAGAACAGGTGTGATGTAAAGAGATACTGATTTGATTTTGTTTTTTCTCTCTCTCATGCTTTTTCTCTTTCATACAAAAAAAATTACATTTTAAATAAAACGTGTGTGTGTGTGTGCGTGCGTGCGTGCATGTGTTTACATATTAGCATTATATTACCACCATATTAACATTTTACCAGGAAGCTACCGTTACAGAAGCTACAGATAAAGTTATACCTTTATTCTAGCCTATTGATCTATTTCATATCTACGTTTGCACTACCAAACAAATAACTGTGTTATTTTCATATTCGTATTAGGCATCCTGAAGTTGCACACACAGAGAGCGAAAACATCATCTATTTTCCCTGCATGCCTTTGTCTCGCCACACTCCAGTGACATCACAGTCGATAGCGCGAGGCAGTCTTTTTAACAGCTGACTTCAGGACAGAGCGCGGCTCAGATGTGCTGAGTACAACTGCACCTGTTTCGTTCCAACATGATAATCTGCTAATCCTCACTAGTGCTCCGAAATCAACACTACATCACTAGAACATCGGCAACACAAATTAATCAAATAGATTTAACGGGGAAAATTACAAAGAACAGTCGTTATTATTATTATTATTACGAATAGCGTTTTTATTTTGTTAGCCTGTTTATTCTTTTTTGGGGGATATCGTAGGCTGTACTATTGTATAGTATAGTATAGTAGCCTATAGTATAGCTAATATATTTTTTAAGAAACATAGCTAAATAAATGTCGTTCATACGGTTTTAGCCTACACAACCGAGAAACGGTCCAGTCCCAGTGGCAGATGAGATTACACGTCATATGGGAAACCTGATCGCTCCGATTATGTAATATGAACGTACTTTTGTTTGATCCCAATTTTTAAAGGTCTCTTGCGGCTTTAGCGCTAATCCTCTCTCTGCGCATTGGATTAATGCTGTAGATATTGTCTGGATTCACAAGTGTCCCTCTAGGCCACGTTACAATTGCCTCTTTCTCTATTAAACATGTTATGAGAGGGGCATGATTCGGATTAAAGGGTTCACTATCTTTTAACAGGTGAAGCTATGTTGCCTTGTCGAATTATTTGCGATCGCACAAAATGTTTATTCGTTCAACATAACTTCTCATAAATTAGATTTGATTAAAAAAAAAAAAAAATGGCGTAGGCCTCTGTTAACAACATAGGCCTAGGCCATTTGAAATAATAGATGTTGAGTTGGCGCCAGTAAAGAGGATAGGCTACTTATGGTTTTATTCATCGGCTCCTCAATTTTCATTCAAAGTCTACTCAAAAACATTTATGTATGTATGTATGTATTTATTTATTTATGTGTGTGTATTTATTTATTTCGCGTAAAATCTTCGTACACTCTTAAAAAAATGCTGGGTTGTTTCAACCCAACGTTGGGTCAAATTTGGACTAACCCAACTTTTGGGTTAAAAAGTTAATGTAAAAATTTAACCCAACGATTGGGTGAGTCCATATTTGACCCAAAGTTGGGTTGAAACAACCCAGCATTTTTTAGTGTATCGTAAGTACACAGTAGCTTTAAGTTTATTTTCAGGCTAGTAGGCTATGTCTTCGATTTATAGTGCTGCTTTGTTGCTACACAAATTGTTTTTATCATCATATCTTAATATAGTTTACCTAATTTAAAACTGATCACGTTTGTAATATTTACTGGAAAGCAGCAATGGCGGATGTTATATCTGGTACAAGAGGCAGAGCGGCTTTGGTTTCTACAAGCGGTCGGGGAGAGCTCGAGTGAAGGAGTGCTCTGGGAATTGAAACCCAAATCCACTTGTAATCTTGCAACAGTATCGGGCATAATTGGCCGAGGAGAGCAGATTAAGATTGATGAGACGTTAAAGTGGCTCTTTGGAGTTCAGGGGGATCGATAAATATCCCAATTTCAAGAGCCTCTCCTCGCATCCAGGACGACGGACCCGTGGGCTGCTACAGGGGTGAACTAATAAAAAAACGGGACTGGTCAAAGAGAAAAATTTAGAGAGAGAGAGAGCGGGCGCTCACTTGGGATTAGATCCTAGTCATTTGACCGGAGGTCAAAACGTCTGTAAATATTTAAATAATGTTTGTAAGGTCAATGTTACAGGTTTCAGATCATCAAAAGGGAATTTCAACGACTGATTTGATTAGGAAGCGCATAAATGCGTATCACTCACATTTGATTTGTTCGGTAGCAAAATAATGAAAGAAAGTGACTGTGAAATTATTGCCGTTAGGCCTCATAGAAACGCGTACCTATTAAAATAATCGGGAGGGATTTTTTTTCTTGATATAGCCTAATGTCATATAGCCAATGCATCAGTTTAGAGGACTGATCGCGTAATTATCTTAATACTGAAATTATTCGCTTTAACAATTTACATATTTTCCATATTTCATTTTCATGCGCATGCAAAACTCCTATGCGCCTACCTTTTGATTAGATAAGAACAAAATATTACTAAAACATTTTACTAAATTAAATTATTTTTGGTGTAAATCGATATTATTTTGAATAAACTATGTAAGATTTATTTCGCACGACACACATGATCACGCCAGTAGGCTATCACCATCGTGTCCAAGTCTACAAAACTGTATTCGAAAAGTCACGCTTGAAAATATTACAAACGCATTCTAAAGAAATGTCTCAAATTGTTTATTGTATGTGTATGGTTGTGTATAAATACATCAGCTACTAACTTGCATTACGCATCGTTTGTTGGTGACTGCCTTGCGATACTTTTTTTTTCCCCCTGTGAAAATAAAAATCTATTTCCTTGTTATAGGCCCTGTTGTTTTGAGCACCCCGGCCCAGCTTATTGCCCCGGTCACTGTAGCTCGTGGGACTCTCTCTATCACTACCACGGAAATCTATTTTGAAGTGGACGAAGATGAGCCAGCCTTCAGACGCATTGATGCCAAAGTAGGTTGCATTTGTGTTATGTATTTGCGAGTGTGTGCACGTGAAAACACCAAGCAGAATCGCATTGCTAATTACGTGGAATAAAATAAAATATCATAAAGTGTTTAACAATCTTACAGCTTTATTAAAACCATCAATTATTTAATACTTTAAAAATAGCCTTTTTCTAAATCGAGGCCCATGCCTTGAATGCCCCGTGAGGCCAAGCACAAAGAGTATTCTTGATTTTGTTTTAAAAAGGCTTAGAATAACTAGTTTTTACTAGACCTGCATTCATGACCAAATATCAGTTACGATGATGATTTATGTACAAATATAGCCTATGTAAAATGAACCAAAGCTTGCGCGTTTAAAGCTCATAATCGCTTAAATCGGCAGTCCTCACTTTTGTATGAATTACATGGAATAACATTAAGTGAAGGAAATAACAAGTGGTAAGTTAAAATGACATTATTGTAACATTTATAAATGAAGGGGTGCATTTCTGACGTGTAGAACTGTCATGCGAGATTTGTATCGTTAAGCCACACATTTCTGCAATGCATATCAGTTCATCTTTGTCCTTATTTCAACAGTCACTGTGCACAGGACTAAATGTTCTCTCTTATTTTCTGTTTTGGTGTTTTCCACGCTTTTTTATTTTGTAAGAACCAGGCTACATCATGTCATTTTTATGCCGAAGATCCAGATGCTTAAAGATCCCCATAAATCGTGCCTTTTCTTACACTGCAGTATTTATGAATCATTATTTGGACACAAATATTAATTTGTTTTTATTAACTCTTTAAATAAACTCAGAGACAGATAAAAAAAAAATCAAATCACAAAATGTTATATTCCAGTGTATTTCAAGTGCATTATTTTCAGGTATATTTTTTCATATATATATTCTCAATTTCAACCTTTTATCATGTAAGCAAGGTACAAACAAAACGGTCGAATAGGCCTATACTTTAAATAAGAATTCAAGTATGTATATGGAATGTTTAGGAACGTAACAAATAGTACCATCAAAATGTAAACTTTAGAATTTTGCCATTGACAATAGATGAAATCGCTGATGCAGGTCTAAATGTTTTTTCTTTATCAGAAATAATCCAGGCGAATGTTAAAACAGGTGAAATGATACTTCTATTTACGTGTCACAGAACAACATTCACAACTGCAGACCACTGGATTCACAATCTACAAATGTGTCTATTTACAGTATAAAATGTACAAGTTGTATTCTGTCACGTAGCTTTGTTTAGGTAAAACGTGCTGTTGGGCAGGGCTAGTAAAAAGAAAAGAAAGAAACAGTAATACTGACAGGTCACCATTCATTTTGATTGTTGATACAATTTGCTCCCTCCTTAAGACACATTCATGTCACGTGAAGTATTTTTAAACGGAGCTCTCTAAAATATTTGTACAACATGGGTTGGTTTCAACAGTGACCATTTTGTGGAAGAGTTCCTGATTAGCATCGTCTAGGCCTCAGAACTTTGATCAGGCAGACCTCCTATTCACAATCATTCCGTTTAATTATTTTTTTTTTACCTCAGAGTTTCTCCAGGCTTTTAGGGTTGGTTAGAATTTCTCTCGCCATTCGCCAAGTCTGTTTGGCAGCGTTTTCAAGGCCCGAATGTGGCTTTCCTTGGAAAAGGTCTAGGCTTGGCAGAAAATAATGGGGGCATCTCCTGCACTGCAAGCACGAAATGAGCTGCAATAAAATCCCGTTCAGTCGATCCCCGAGGCAGTTCTCGTCCCAGTCCGACTCGCGCGGGTGTTTTTCGCACTCGTAAGACACAAGAGTTTTCATGTGGTAGTTGTTGAGAGGCTGCCCGGGAAGTTCAAGGTGACGGTCGCGCAACGTCTTGAGCAGGGACAGGCATTTCTTCCTGCACCCTCCCAGCAGCAGGCGGTTCTCCGCTTCGGCGAACTGCAACACCCAGGCATCGCTCTCCGCCGAGCTCTGCTTCCCGTTCAACGAGTAACACTCCTTCGATAAGAGATTGAAACCCTCGGCTTTGACTTCTGCCACCCGGTTCGGACCAGGCCACGGGATGTGTGGCAGCGGCCAGTGGGCAGCGCTGCGCGGCCATATGCCGGTGCACTTGAACGCGGGGGTGATCTGAACCACGTATCTGTCTCTGATGCGTAATTTCACCTCGCTGGTGTCCGCGATCATTTTAACCACGTCCCTATAGCTGCACTTATCCACCGCCTGCGCCACGAGCGTCTGGAACCTGGAACGGATCTTTCGCGCGGACAGGTATCCCGAAGCCGTGATGAACTCGACCCAGAGGGACATGCTTCTCTTCCGCCCGTCGCTTAGCTTGAGCACGGCGCAGCCCGGCAGAGAGCCGTCGTCCACGAAGTTGAAGACCCCCATCTGGTTCAGATACAGGACCACCTCGAATTCTGTAGGGGAGATGACCTCGAGCCCCTCGAAGCGGTTATCCATTTCGTTTAAGGAGCTGATAAAGCGGGGCTCCTGGACCTCTACCTCCTTCAGGACATCTGAGACCACCTTGCACACCTCCCGGATGTTCTTGGAGATGGCCGCCTTCCGAGACTGGCATTTCTCGTTGTAGTATTTATTGAGATGATACACCAGCTTGGCCTGGGCGGCGATCATATTTGGACAGAGATCCGGGTTGTACACCGGAGTCTCGCAGTAACCCGAGGGATCCAACGCGGCTGTTTGTACAGGAGCCAATTTTAGAGAAGAACGTGGACTATTTAGAGGAAAAAAGGGGGATTATGAAATTAAAAAATAGCTTTTTATTTGTGCGTGGAGCACATGCACAAAGTCGGGCAGTTAAATCACGAGCTTCTGTGTTCAATTGCGACAAAAAAAAAAAAAAAAAGTCAAACCCCTTGCAATTCAGCAATTAAATGTCCATACGCACGGATCAGTAGTTCAGCAAACCTCTCGTATCCACTTGCGGTGTCATTTCTCTGTTTGCAACAAGGGTTAGAAAGTGCAGGGTGCTCTTAAGTGTGTGTCCTAGCTGTGTTGCTGTGTTTAAGACTCCGAACTCACTCCTGTGAAATTATAAAGGGAGGGTTTGAGAGCAGCTCGTCCAATCACGGCTCGAGTCGTCACTGCCTTCAGTTTTTTTGACGACAAATTAATCCTCCGCTTTTATACACAACCAAATCTTCTGGTGGAAACACATCTACACTTTGGAGGGAGAAGATACAGGTTTATTCGCGATATATGCGGGCTTTTCCTGCTATTCTTATTAGATACAGACTATGCCTGTTATTATTTATTTTCTTTTTAACATAAATAATTTAATTTCATACGTTTGAGAATGGATGTATAATTTGATATACATTTTTAAGAGTTTAATTTTCATTATCGTTCTGGATCTGTAGGCTATTACAATTTGACGAAAATGTAATTTGTATTTTTTTTCTCTCTCTGTAGTTTGACATGCATAATGTTTTTCGTTGACCTGTTAATTTGATTTTTCTTTTGGTGTTGAAGTATTGTTTCACGTTATGTTATTTTCGATGTTTAAATGCCTTCATTTGATATTATACTGCTACATTGCGTTATATTTCTTAATGGTGTATGTTATTTAAAATTCGCTTTGAATATTATACTAATAGAGATTTGTTTTAATTATTTTGCGTTATAAATATGGTAATGATATAATGGTAGGCTAAACATGACACGTCTCAGTACCGAACGCCGGAATCTTTTCTTTCATTTTAAATAGCCTATTTCAAACATTAACCCGTGTTATTTATTTTCTTATAAGACGGCAAATGAAGCTTTAGGTTCATGTAGGTTATCGTGTTGTCGTCTTACTAGCTTTGCATAGCATATAAAAAAATGTCTAGGAAAAGTTTTTGTGAAGTTCATTGTTAAATGAAGATTGAAGGCCTTTAAATAGCTAATGTGCGTTAAGGCGTTTTTGCTAACATATGGAAAATTTGTCGCATTTTGTGTCTAATTATTTATTTTAATTTCTAATTATTTAAAAAAAGAATATTGCTTAAAGTTTTATTTTTGCATAAAATATAAGACATTCCAGAGTGGTGTAGCAAATGCAAAAGGAGAAGCGTCTTTTTGATCTTTTTAATTCGTTTTCACGAACGTCTTTAATGTTTTTAATTTAAACTAGTTTTTTATTTGTTCGATGGGAAGAAAAATATGATCCTCTCTTAACTTCTTTTATTGTTTTAAATTAACTGCTAGTATAGATTTTTTGTTCTTGTTCAGTGTCCAAATCAAATTTCGTTTTAATAGCGTACAACTTTTTGGAGTGTTCTTTCAAAAACTCATGCTTTTATAACGTGCCTGTATTTTCATATTTTAACCTTTCATTCCAGTTTTTTTTTTGTTTGTTTCGGCGGATTAAACGTTCAAAAATTCCACTGTAAACGTCAGGAAATATTTGAACGATTTGAGATAAACTTCCTCAAATCACAATGTCTGGAAAAATCTTGTGTATCATTGCGCGAAATGCAGAAACACCTTATAGGCCTATATGCTTATACCGCGATATTATATATGACATCAAACAACAAAACAACGAGAACACCTCGTGTTTACATGTTTCGTGCCCTTTCCAGATCCTCCCCATTACACGACGCGGCGCTTATCGCACTCATTACGAAAAAAAAAAGATCTTCAAAAAAAAATACGGAGACAAGTTTAAATGTTTTAATGAATATAGACTGTGATATTTATACACATGTTGTAGATATTTCTATAGGCATGTCTGTTTCAAGCTCATAGAGCAGATTGTTATAGGTCACTGTACTAAGGCTTCACAGTCTGTTGGCTCCAGCCCTCACTGTAGTCTGCTTGGCTCCTTCTTGCCAACAATAATTAATAGAGCTCTGCTGTTTGCAGGCAAATATCACACTTATCAGTTCGCCTTCACCTCTGTAATGAAAGCAAGGTGAATGCTGTTTGGGCCTTTGGCAGGGATAAGTATGTAACTATATTTAAAGCAAACATTTTATTATTATTTTTAAAGCATGTATTCAATTACTGT